AGCACAGGAAACTAAAAAAAATCTTGGTGGAACTCACTTAACAAATTAGATATCTTAACCAAGCAATCTATAAAGGGTGTGGTAGATTTAGTAGATATGATACATAACTGTTTTCCTTGTAAACTCGTTCTAAACCCTGTCAATTGCTAATTTCTTTAGGAAAATAATAGTCCGCAACTCAAAAACACTCAGTTCACCTAGCCAAACATAAAAAGATAGGTCTATGTGACGAGAAGGTTGCCTCTGTCTTACAAAATATCTCCCGTATAAAAACTAATAATACGAGATGATTTTTATTAAATCCGTGGGGTAACAGTTAAATATGTGAAAGTGTCAACGTGTGTACGTAACTTTAATTGTGATTTTGAGCTAAACGTAAGTTTATTTTGTTGAAAAACTATTATTATTTAAAACCACTCTGCATTTTCCCCAAAAAATCAAATCAAATTCAATCTTCATAACGTACTACGATCTTATGGCCAAATCAATCTTTGGTTTATTAAAACTTATTGTTGACAAATAAGTTTAACCAGCAGTGGTGATTAAGGAGGGTGGTATGGGGTTGACTATCCCTCTCCTTTAGAGGAGTGTAAAGGTAAAGTAATGTAGTATTTATTCATGATAAAATCCCATACATGTTGGCCAGTTTTGCTTCCCTGCTTTACTGTGGTCAATCGCCGCCACCACTTTTATCAGACTGTTAATCCAGGATCTCTGTGTTTTGTCTAGGTTAATTTATTTAACAATCGCCTATTGGGTCTGATGATGATTGGAGTGTCCAATCGATATTGATCACTACTTACCATCTTCCATTTATATATTTACCGTCTTGTGAGTAACAGTATAAGCGTAAATATATGCTGTAATTGTTATAAGACGTTTCTCTTATTTACTTTCCATAAATTCATTTAATTCAGTATTAATTACAAAATAAATCCACCAGCCGTATTGCAGGTGTTTGTCCAACACATTGTGTTTAGATTGGCACGAGTTCCCTCAAATTGGCACGAGTTCCCACCAAAAGCGGCAGCCTGTGGTAGCGACCCAGGTATTAATTACATGGGGAGGACAGCGGGGCAATTTTTGACAACCATTCTAGCTTGGGACCGAACCAATTTCGTCAGATACCGTTCTGCACAGAGTCTACAATTTAGGAGGATCTTTATGGAGGTTGGGATATAATTAGCAAGAATCTCGGCGTTCCCACGCCAAACATTGTAACAACCCACTTTTACGAGCAGGCTTTGCTTTACAATGTCATTACCGGCTTCTTACGCAGCTTTGATTCCGCCGGTTTTTGCCGAGGGTGTGGGATGGTCCGTCATGCGATGCCGCTCGAGGCACAACTGGAACTGGACATTGGGTGTGTAAGGATTTCGTGCTGTATCCCTTGACTTGTTACTTGTAGGCTAATATAACTCTCGGTACAGAACAGCTAAATTGGCCCTCTTATGGGTTGCGAGGATTAAAGTAATTATTTTGACTCCTTGTGTGGAAAAGAGTCAGCTGGAGTGGAAGATATAAGTTGTAAATCTTTTCTATAACTTTGTCAGCTGGTCATGAATAGAAAAAATCCAATTAGTATGGAATCGTTTTCAATATTACACATTTGTGTAATATTCATCGTGTTACATTGAGTAATTACAACAATAGATTCCCCTTTGAGGACCATATTTGGATATTTTAATTTGAAATATGCAGTACTATCATTGACTATATAACCACAACGGATTTTTTACATAAACAATAACATAAACAATAACATCTTCAGACAAAATAAAATCAGCTGATTAGTTTGTAAACAAGTACGTTGACTTTCACCACAGCTGATTTAAAAAGTTTGGGTGTTTAGTGTAAATTAGAAAACAGTAAAAAGCTGTGCAATTTTTAAGCCATCCTAATGATTGATAATTGATAAAAAATACACTTTTTGGGGTTATATAATATTTTATTATTGTTTGAAATAATCTAAAATAGTTTAAAAATAACTTTCAAAGCAAACGCAGACTGTTGCATTGTTGTGGCAGACTTAGGCCGCATGCCTCGGCATACACTACATCTAAACCTCCAGCGGTCACGTATTACTAAAACTCTCATATCTCAGTTAATATTCATCCAATCTTAAAGATTAAGGTGTAAATCGATTTGTAATTAAATTATCTTAAAAAAGTTATTCATTTAAATCTTTTTTAAACCCAACGGCTTTTGAGTTATTTAAGAAACAAAAATTTTAAATGGCCACCATTTTGTTTTATGAATTTAAAAAATTTTCATAATTTTTTGTAGCTTTGTCTAGTTGTCATAAATATTTTTGCTAAGTTTCAACTACGTATCTCTTACCATTTTTTAGAAAACAGTTAATAAGCGAAAAAACAAAATGGCGGCTGTGTGAGTAACTAAGGACTTCCGTTCATTTTAAATATGATATTTGGATTTGTTTCTTACCCAGGAACAATACCCTAAAATATCCAACACGAATTCTGAAACACCCTGCAATACTCTATAGATGTATACATAAAAATTTAAACCAATGGTGTTTTAGGCCTGGACATCAAAATGAAAAAGTAAATAGGTCCCGGGCCTAGGTCTTACCTTTGACTATGCAATAGTCAATGGTCTTCCCGTGCCACCGATAGGGAAATCCGGTAAAAGATGTCCATTAAGCCTGAGGTTATACTTGCTCTATTTATGGTAAAAATCAGCCATAAACTATTAAATTTAAAACATTAACATAGGCTAACTGTAAACAATCAACTTTGACAGTTCTGCTTGGTTCAAGTCAACTGTTGTCATCATTACAAACAAAAGAGTAATAGTGATGACACCTGTTAGTAAACTTTGTAATTTTATAATACCATCGAACATCATAGAACCAACTTTTTTTATTGAGACTGCTGTTAAGATTGATTAATTCTTTTTATATGAACTAGAGGTCGTCCAGTATTTACTTTTGCCTTGCGTCCAGTGGTCAAAAACTCGACCAAAAATATGTAATGTGTAGGTTTCTCTATTTACATCCCACGCTGTAAATAAAACATGTGATTGGAATTCCTTCCATTTGTTTTGGTTTTCTGATTATATTTTGTTGTTGTTTCAGCAGCATAGCAACCCATAAGACCCATATATTTTTTTTTATTACGACTTAATTTTTTTGTTTATTTTTAGCTTATTTTAATTTATAAAGTAATTCTGCACATCTAGGAAAATATCTTTCTAATAGTATGCGTATATTTCCCCTGTGATGTAGTCAAGCTCAGAAAAAAGGTGTTATAGAAAAATGCTTATTTTTGTATAGATATATACAAAAAATAATGTTAACTCATAAGGTTAACATGGGAAACTCCAGAGCCACTGAAGCAGAGCCTGAATTTCAGATCCGAATAAAAACTGCTTAGTTTTCCTAGTCGATCTGTATATCCAAGTTGGTTCTGTAAAAATCTTAATTTTAGACTACCACAGTAAATATCCAGTTAATCTTGAAATCCTTAGGTTTCCTGTTCCATCCGAAAAGGAATAGATTCTTGACTCATTTTGCACATGATCAATAAATGGTTTCCAATGGCAAGTAGACGTTTGTTAATAACAATAACAGCATTTAAACATCCCCATTTAAAATCTAATTTAATGGAGATAAACATAATGTACAAATTGGCTTGCAGCGTATAAAATAAGCATAAAAAATACCTAGAAGCAGTAGGGGTTCCCAAAATTGGGATTTCTCACCTATTTCCCATTTGATATTTTTTTACTTGATATCGTTAGATAGGGAATTTTATATGCAAAATAAAAGTCTTGCTGGAATGTTTCATAAAATGAGCAGTTTTTGCAATTTAAGTCATAAAAGTTCAAATGCCCAAAATATTTTTCCAATATATGTTTTAATGATTATTTTTCCTGAATCATATAATGGCTTGATAAATTTGTGTACAGAATTTCACAAATATATCTATAATATAATTTTTAGTAAAACAAAAATTGTGGTTATCTTGCTAATGAGGCAATAAAAATTTTATAATATATGGATTTTCCTTTTATTTTGACCCATGAAACCTATTGCTATTTCGTTTTTACTTACTTACGGTACACCCTGTATAAGAGGGGAGTGAATTACTTGTCTATGGTACAAAGTGTTATTGGTGGTTTTTAATACCTCTCGCGATTTTATTGTACATACTACTAGTATGTTTTCTGTGCTTGAAGGCTTACATGTCTGCGATATATTTTTCCTCGTGATCGTGATAAACAGTTCTAATACATTTGTTTATTCCCGAGATATACTTTTAACGTCAAAGTTACCAATGTATGTCTCCGACATATTTCTCGTGCCACAATATTTCGTCCGTAAAATATTAGTCCTCCAGATGTATATTTCAGCGATATACACTCATCCACATCATCTCCCCGCGCTATACTTTTCCGCGGCATATTTACCAGCGATGTACTTATCCGCGACACATATCTTCACGATATACTTTTTACGTAAAATTTACCCACGAGATCTGTATTATGTCTGTGATATATTTATCTCCGAGATGTGCATGTCCGCGATTCACTCATACACAACATATCTCCCCGCGCTATACTTTTCCGCGACATATTTACCAGCGATGTACTTATCCGTGACACATATCCCCGCGATATACTTTTTACGTAAAATTTGCCCACGAGATCTGTATTATGTCTGTGATATATTTATCTCCGAGATGTGCATGTCCGCGATTCACTCATCCACGACATATCTCCCCGCGCTTTACTTTTCCGCGACGTATTTCCGCGATATACTTATCCGCGACACATATCCCCGTGTACGTACGCTGTTCACACGACGCAGTGACACCGGATATTCTTGTCGGCCAGTAATGGACGGACCGGAGCCACGACGTGCTGGGGGGCCGGGCTGGCGGTCGTCGCGTTATCGTCCGTGTAAAGTTTTACTGTCCCCACCCACACGAGCTACATTGCGTTTCACTTTATTTCCTCTTCAGAATGTTTTAACTCAGATGCGCCACACACGGAGACGGTCCTCTGCGGATCTCTTCATCACCTCGGGCTTCGCCCCTCCGGAGTTATCAGTCAGGGGACGCTAGATACCATCACTCGGCTTCTGTCCACGGTGACGGATCCCACCTAACTCACGGGATAACCATCTCCCTATCACGGCTACAACTACAAATTGGACCTCACACCTCAAGCCTCAATCTGATCGGGTGGATTGAAATACAGGCGTAGTTAAATTCACTTGTTTCTTCGCACGTTTCGGAAATTGATGAGCCCCTTGAGAGGGTGTGATGTTTCCTTTAATTGGCTGGTTTTATCTGAGACACCAGTCAGAATGGGATGGCTCTTGGAACATCTAAATGCACTGGGATCATGGCGGATGTGACGGGTGGTTTTGTGATTCGTACAAACTGAGATAAGTTAGGAATTATTCATAGACAATAGAAAAAAATAAATGGGAACTTTCACCCACTTTAGATCACACTATCATTACTAAATACAACTTTACAAACAAAAATTTTATTTTAATAAACAGTAATACCATTACACTGATCACACTAAAGCTGTAACACGACATAATACCACATATCCTAAGTCACTGCATATCCTAAGTGAATGCTTTTCCAACAGATCAGTGTTTCTTTAATTTTTTATTGTTCTTTCTATGTTAAACGAAATCCCTACCTTAACTACTCGATCCAGTCAAAGGGTATCCCATGCAGGTTCAAATTTCGCTTGTGATCTTTTGGTCTGCAGTATAGGCTAAAAATTAAAATATAAAATTATCTTTAAAAATCCGGTCCAAATTGTTGATAGAAAAAATCCAAATATAATCGACAAAGAGTAGTTCAAACTGCAATCCCTGAAAAGCGCTTTGGAGGATGAAATGCAGTAAGTTGAATAACACATTCGGAGATTTAAATGTATTCTCTACAAAAAAAATACTGGTTATAAAACTAGTCAGTAATGAAAAACGCTGAAATATTACAAAATGGTGGTAATATAAACGGGCTTCAAATACCGTTTCGATACTAAATTTATAAATTTCAAAATGGTAACTTAAAAAAATAACCACTGTTTGCATTTGTTATAAAAGATTTCAAACAACTCAAATCCAAAACCAACCCCCTTTACTAATAAACACAGTCCCTAACCAACCCTTATCCCCAGTCACAGCCGGGTAAGCCACTAACAGATACATTAGCGGGGGCGGTGCGTTATTATTCCCAAACCATGTTATTTGCCTACAACGCCCGCGGCGCCCTGTCCTAATTATTGTTTACAGGTTACGTCCCTAGGCGCCGCCTTAGGCGCCAAGCAGGTGCCTTTTCTCAAGGGAACGCACCCACGACCCCTAACACACCTACACTGCCCTATTTCAAGGGTATCATTTTATTTCTAGTGAACCTGTCATTAATTTGGATTTTTTCCAGGATTCGGTATTGCTCCGGCTCGGCGGCGGTCCTTCTGATTAACTACCAATAATTCTCACAGGCTGCCATTTTACTACTTTCTGTTTGAGATAATTGCTATGATTATTGCAATGCGTGGGACCGGGAAAGGTTTGGGGTGGTAAACGGTTGGAAATGTTTGATTGTTTGGGAGGTCAAGGATGAATTTGGTAACCACTAAGGGATTGATAAAATTACAAGGGTTATCGTACCGATTTAAAATTTTTTTAGTTGTGTTATTGTGGAGTGAATGTAACATAAACTGCTGTAGTATGACATTAGAATAGTATATTGAGGGATTGTCCGAGATGTAAATCCCCTTGGCGTTAATTTTTTTGTTGTTCTTTCAATGTTAAACAAAATCTCACCTTATGTACTCGATCTAGGCAGATGGTACCGGTATTCCACGCAGGTTCAATGTTTGCTTGCGAATAAAAACATCAGTTATCAATAAATATAACTAGGTATCTTTGTTTTCTAGCAACAAAATTTTAGTCTAGTATCTGATCAAAAATAATTTTAATATTTATAGTGTTTAAGTAAAAATTAAGAACTTCCTAGCAAAGAATTGTTACATCATCACTTTCCCCACCAGCTGCCACCCTCGGCTAATTGTGCTAATATGTGCTAAGGATGGTGATTACTTTTAAGAAAAACAAAACTAAAACAGTCAAATCTCATTAAAATTAAAATCATTTTTAAAAATCGATTGCACTGCCGAATTGTCCATTTTTTAATTTTCGGCTTACTAGTGCAAGCCATCTCAATGAAAAACGAATCTTTACGTTTATAGGAAAAATGTGATATCTTAAAATGTTGCTATATTATTTCTGTTCTATCAAACATTTGTTTGACATAATTATTGAGCAATTTCGAAGATCGATTTAGTTTTATTCAGCAGTAACTGAATGTTTTTTTTCCGTTTTACCTTTTATTTTTAATTTATCACTGATTTGATTGCCCTGTGGAACTACAGAAATTTATTAAAAATTATCATTAAGTTGTATTACATGTTGTAATGTCTTGGATTACTCTTTGTAAATTTTATTTATCAGCTGACTTTAAAATAAGTGTGTTTACTATTTTTGTAAATGCTCTACCCGGTTACGACCTGTAATCATGCAATCGTCTAAATATACAGCAACGCCATCTAAACCAGTCAAAACCTGTTAAATCTTACGTTGAAACAATCCTGGTGCGGATTTAACCCCAAAGGGTAAACGAGTGTATCTAAAGTAGCCGAATGGAGTAGCTATAACCAAAAAATCTCTATAAGACTCAGCCACCTCTAACTGTAGATATGCGTCCTTCAGGTCCAGTACAGTGAACTCATTTCCATTTTGTAATTTCATCATGATATCTTCAAAACGTGGAAGGGGATGTTGCACAGAACTAATGAATGGGTTTATAGTACATTTGAAGTCCCCACAGATTCTGACTTTCCCATTGGGTTTTATCGCTACAACAATGGGAGAGGCCTAACTATTTTTGTTTTGTATTGTTTTTATGATGCTGAGCTAAATACAATGGTTTTTTAATGTTCCTGAGTTTTTATATTTTATTAGTGATTTTACATGAGTTTCAACCAGGCGATCCAGTGTGGGTAAAACAACAAAACAATCCGTGTGAAGAAGGAGTAATTTTGAGAAGGACTGGTCCCGTATCATATATTGTAATTCAAGAAGGAAGGAAATACCGGCGGCACGCCGATCAACTGAGAAGCAGACATAACTAAGAAACAGACGCATTTTTCGAAAAGAAGAGCATGTGATTTTTTTAAGGGGGAAGATGTGTAATGTCTTGGATTAGTCTTTGTAAATTTTATTTATCAGCTGACTTTAAAATAAGTGTGTTTACTATTTTTGTTTTGTATTGTTTTTATGATGCTAAGCTAAATACAATGGTTTTTTAATGTTCCTGAGTTTTTATATTTTATTAGTGATTTTACACACGTTATGTTATTCTTAATTTAAATACAAATTTGATGAACAAACCCAATTTGAGGGATTATTCAAAACAGATGTAAATAATTAAATACCCCCGCCGCAGCAAACCCGCAGACTAAGCTAATTTCCATTTGCCTGATTGGATTTACAATTAAATAAAATACAATAAAATATCTAATTTAAAATGTCACATGTATTCCCCATTTAAATAGCATTAGTTTAACGAGTACTTAGGTTTGCTGAGATAGGGACGGTAAACAAGTGTTTTTAGTAAAATGTAAAATAGTTTACAATGAAATAAATATATTATCCAAATTTGATTAAAATATATTCATAAACAAGCATACTACAAGTTGCTTACTCATTCTCCATAAAAAATAACATAAGAGTTTAAATTTAATTTTTTTTTTGCATTTTCTCCGTAAAAGATGTAGGCGAATAACAACGCCGACGATGTAAAAACTACACGCTACGATAAATTGCAATAAATCACGCTACAAAAAATTACTTTTATCGACCGCCTTAAAACGAACACACGAAATTCGAATGTTCGAATGTTCACACATGAACATTCATGTGTTCATGTTCACATGAATATGATGTGTGGTGTGTGTGTGTACGATTCGAATGTTCGTATTTACGAACATTATGGCCAAAAATTTAAAAAAATCATTAACTTTTAATTTGTATTTAGGTAGCCTTTTTTTAGTTCCTATCATTGCTAAAACATCTGCGTGGTTAATAACAGTGCCTGGAAAATCCCTAATTCCTCATGCTGTTATCAGCTATATATCATCATTAGTTGACGGATGGATTGTCCGTTTTAGGGCGCTATTTTGTTATTACTACTTACAATACTAATTACGACTATACTTACAATTTTTTAGCTAATCCCTACCCCTACTACCCCTAAAGACAAACTTTTCAAAATTATTTATCATTATTGTAGCCCCTCTATTTAAATAGGTTTCCGGGAAACCCAATTTCATAAATCACAAACGGTTAAAAATTCAAAGGGTTGCAAGTTACTTTTCAGCCACATTTGTATACTCTATTTTATAGTGTAATCGGAAATTCAGATTTAAATTTGTAATTACTAAATAAAGTAACAAGCGTACACTGTTAGGACATTAAAAATTGTATTATATACCTAAATCTTTTGCCGCCACCAATTCGTTTAGGTCAATAACTGTAATACAATTTTGGAATATAACTCCAGCGGTTTTAATTAACCAGATATTGAAATGAAAATTTAAAAACAATCCAAGATTTTTAGGCCGAACCCAGGATTTATTTTTATTATGTTTAAGTGATTTTTAAAATGATTTATTCGGATTTAATTAAATATAGCGAGATATGTATGGTTGCCTATCTACTGTTTCCAAATAAGTTTTGTTACACTTAACCAAGTAGTCTTATGATATATCCATAAGTTGTCCACTAATATATCCTTTTTTCAAGCGTTTTAAACGTTAATTGCAATACAAATAGTTGCAAGAAACATCCCACTTTTTATGTTAACAGAGTGTTTATTTTTACTGTTGCATATCGTAAATGCATGAATCATTTAAAATATATTTAAGACAAGAAAAACTATTAAACTAGATTAAACATATAACATGCCGTATTTGATATTTATTTTAACTTCTTATCGCATATACATTTATAACAAAAAAAACCAAAATAAAATAAAAAACAGGACATTTCATTTGTACCGACTACTAGTCGGTCCCCTCCCCTAGGGGGGGAGGGAAATCCCTTGTTAGTTATTTGGTTTGTGGAAGATGGGGTGATTATTGTATGTATGCAAGGTAGAGAAAAAATATGACAGTTA